ACTGAAGTATGTGTGTTCTCTTCTCGTCTTATGCTGGCTTTCCAGTCCTCAAAACCCTGTCATGCTGGTACGCACAGGGTAAAGTGGCCAGCTTTATCTTTGAAGGAGTAGGCCATTCAGAAACGCAGAGATCTAGAAATGAGCACCTTCTTATAGAACTTTTGGTAGTCAGCCCATCGCGTTTCATTGTTCACTTGTGTATTTCGTGGCCAGTAACCAATTCGTAAAGATGGAAGGCCTGATTGCTCTTCAGGTCTGTATAAGGCCGCGTTCATAGTTCGCGACTCCGGAGATTAGGATAGTACGCGACAATGAAAAACATGTATTGACGGGAGATTAGGATAGTAGTAGAGTAGGAGATTGCGCTGACAAGATTAGATACGTATCGATTGAAATCGCCGGAGAGTAGTAGATTGCGATATTACGATAGTAGGATAGTAGTAGAGTAGGAGATTAGGATAGTAGTAGATTAGGATAGTGCGCTGACAAGATTAGATATGTATTGATCTATTCGCTTGAAGTCGCCCAATCTACTACTCTCCAGCGATTTCAATCGATACGTATCCAATCTTGTCAGCGCAATCTCCTACTCTACTACTATCCTAATATCCTGTCGCCTACTATCCTAATCTCCCGAGTCGCGAACTATGAACGCGGCCTAGCGATAAGTGGCGCGACACCTTCCAGTCAAGCACTTCTGCCATCCTGCCCAGTAAAAAATGCGGTTCGATGTAACCATCTTGAGGCTGTAGGAAACGTCTCCGAAAAAGCTTAGCGATGAATGGAAAATCAAGAAACAGATATGCAGTATTAATGGATAAGTGATAATGTATCCTGCATTGTTTCGTCTATTTTCAAGATACGCCACGCATCTTACTTTCATTCAAATCTCAATGTACCGTTTCCTCCCTTTCACCAAACATTGATTGATGTGGATGTGGCGGATTCTAATTACCGTCAAGTACGAAATATCTCGTTCTCAGAATTGTAGTTAGAATTTGCTTGATCGATCGAAAACTGAGTGAGAAGCGCATCATCAGGCACAGCTGATCATACTCATACATATTTGCATGGTATTTCATACTTTTCATAGCATTCATACTCATATCATATTTGATCTTACTTGATACCCTATTTAGCTTGAAGCCGCGGGTAGGAATTAGGTCAGCCAAGAGGTAGTCCCTCA